GTATTCAGTTCCGGTCCAGACAGAGGGGCGCCGAACAGGTCCGTATTTTCGGAGGACGGACGCAGGATTGTCAGTCAAACACTCAATCGTGTCAATGCGTTAACGTATCTACAATCCGAAGATCCAGTCTGGTTTCTACTGCGGGCATTTCGATTTACTTCAAGGACAGCCCATGGGTTTGTCGCGGCTGGGGCACGGGACTACGATACGAGATTGAGAGGAATGGCAGCGAAATTGCGTGGTAGACGTATCAGCGATGGGGCTAACACCCTACCGGACGATATCACCGAAACAGAACGGTGTATCTCAGAGCGCTGGGAATCTGTGCTTGATGCCCTGGCAATTCGAAAACAAACCATTGACAGGCCCTCAGACAGGCGTATGATGGCGGGTCGGGTTAGGAGGTACTCGCAGTCCAGGATAAATTCTTTTACAAAAAGTGACCTGCAAGCAACGCTAGCCGTCTTTGGGCGTGGCCTGGAACTAAGAGTTCCAAAGCTTGAGCTTGTCGCAGCTGTTCTACAGCTCAAACAGGACATTATTGACGAGACAGTCAACTTAGATGGGGGCGAAGATGGACAGCTGTCTGAAGACGCCATGGTCGCAGCTGCTACAAAAAGCACTCAGGCGTCCCTACAGGAAGCTTCGGTCTCGGCTTGGGTCATGAAACCATTAGTTACAACGATGGGCATGAAGGAGGGTTCACGCAACGAAATTGAAGTTGCAAAGGCTCTGCCTGCCTTCTTCGAAAATCAGAAAGGGGCTTACATGAAACAGTTATTTTGTGCATCATATTCATTTGATCAAAGTACTCGCTTTAAAGTGCTGCATGTGCGCAGCACGGGCCTGCTTGAGAGCAAAAGCTGCCGATTGCTTGCTGATAGCCCTGATGCTATCGCAGCTGCTTCGAATGAGGAAGGAATGATCCAGGTGTTTGCTGTAGAAATCAAGACCATGACTGCACTGACTACAATACAGTCCGCTTCTTTGAAAGCGAACAGGTACGGCGAGCTAATTATTCTTTCAGACGTTGGAGGCAATTTACTGAGTACTGAGCTATTCCACGAGCTTGTCCCCACCACACAATATCGCTCACAATGTTTGCACCATGCGGCAACACTTGGCATAAACTCAGTTCTGTTCGTGGTTGCGACAAGTGGGTCTATGACCGAAGGAAGGATACTGTACGCGTGCATGGTTAACTTTACTGAGACCATTCGTCATCAGTACACTTATATTTTGGACTGCGTGAGACACACAGGGTTTAATTGGATAGGGAGTGACGCAAAGGATATCCCAAAGGAATATGACGACATGCTACAACTTTCTCATGCATCCGACATACACAGTTTCATGTCATACTACAGTCTCAGTGAAGCTCTGCGCAAGTGTGTAGGAAAACGAAATGCCCCAATTCCTCCATCCCGTATGATACGTTTAACGCCCACAGTGTACTGGAATCACCTTAAAGGTGGGGTAGACGTCATTTCTCGCTATATGAAGACACTGGCTCGCTGCAACATTAGTGAAAACCCCGTCGTGTCTATTATTGCCAGACTGATGTCCATGCAAATTAGCAATGCTGCAGTTTTATACAGGCTTTACTGTGCAAGGAATCGTAAGCAGCTTCCTGCCATCGAGGATTTTGCGAACTCTAGGAACATCGGCCATCAATACTTGCGGCACAGAATAGCAAAAACTGAGACATTTGGACGGTTTATCCGGCAGCTTGCCAGGGAATGGGTCGAGAAATCTACTATAATCTCACAAAATGGCACAGATCACGTCGAAAGACAAATACATAGCCTCACACCGATGTTCTCCCGCAACGCTGCGGAAAATTATAATATCGGCGTTCACAAAGCTCGAAGGTTAAACTCGACATTGCTGCATGAGCCTGTTAGTTCAAAGGCAACCTACTGTGTATTGTGCACCTGGGATTTAAGAGGCATCAAGGATGGAAAAATAAAAGTAAAACGAAAGGGGTCTCGACAAGTGCAGTGGTGCCGCGTTTGCAGACAAGCTGTTTGTGCAACATGCTGGGACGACTGGCACTCAAGAAGCACATTGAAACGGGCTAAACCAAGCCAGGCCGAGAAACGAAACTTTGAAGCAGGCCTCAGAAGCACTAGACAAAGAACGGCATAGCTAATATAGGATAAGACAGTACCAGATTACATTCAAGAGAACGGAGGGGGGATATTGACTGGGGGATTGAGATTGATGTGGCCGGGGAGGTGGAGGCGATCGAGGGAGACGTCGGGGCGGGGAGCAGTGCGGAGCAAAGCGGGGCGATTGGTTGGAATGATGGTGGAAATGCAACGGTCGCGACGGATTACTACTCAGTGGAGCTAACATCTTCTGAAGGGGTAACGTCTTCTGAAGGGGAAGACAATGCTTTGATTTAAAAGTTGAAGCGTCTTCCTCCAGTGCAGTAAAGTCTTCAGAAGTCACATTCAGTTATTGACGTCTACAGTTACTGTAGATGTTTCGTGACGTGCATCAACAACATTCACAAACCGTCAAGATATGTCAACAAACTTTGAGACGTCTACTTAGCGATGTAGACAATTTAGTTGAACCAGTCTACAAAAGGCAACGGTCTGTCTAAAAGATGAATCTTAATTTGTAGACGTCTCACTGTTTGTAGACGATCACACTTTTTTGTGTGAAGGTACACTTTTTTGTTGACGGTGTTCGAACACCTTTGTATACTTTTGGGTCCGATATCTTCAGCGGACCAAATTAGTTTACTAAATCAGGCGCATCTCCATCTGTTCTTATCTCTACCACAAGTTTCTCATACCGTCAGACTCAGGACAAGGAGAGCTTTCCAGTGAACTACTTTTCGTCCCTTAAGTACGGCATTTGGAGAAGTTATGGTAATTTGACCCTAGTGGGCCGCAAAAGAACCGTCTACAAAATTCAGCACAGGGTTAAGAGAATGAGTGAGAGTGAGAGAAGTAAATGAGAGTCATCGTCTCGTCACCACAATCGCATAGACATCGAAGTTGAAAAGAAATAAAAGTCGCATATTTGTATGTTATGATAACGCTTGGTTGGATGGCTAGCGTCTAACTAGACGACAAGTGTTTTGCATCAGATGAGGCCAGCTTTTTTAGCAAAAATATATTTACACTACTTCTTTAACGTTCTTGGTATCGGCCTTAACATCTGGCAAAACATCGGGATAGAAATTTTGAACGCTTTGAAAGATGACGAGTATAATGTGGATGAAGTGCCCGGTTACAATTTTAAACTGTCGTTTTCGTTTCGGAGTTTTCAATACACTACGTTTTAAGGATGCTCGGAAACGCCTCTTTTCCAGACCTTTCTGAACAAACGACCGGACAGATAATTCAGTTACCACCAAAATCCATCCTCCTATAACGCCAAAGTCAACTAAGGAGGCGCACGTGTACCTTTGTCGTTTTTATGAAGTACTATTGGCACAAGTCCATAAAAATGAGATTGAAAAGTTGCCTTTTACGTGCCCTGTTGCACAGTCCACGGACAAGGATTGTGAAGGTGAAAGTGGAGGTGCCTTGCCCGCTTGGTTTAGTGCGAAGGACACTAGCCCGAAGTAGAGCTGCAGAAATGGCTGTAAAGAGATGGAAAATGCGACGCAATGTATGGGTGCACCGCGACTCAGAGAGACCTGCAAAAAATTGGAGACAGCTAATGATGCTGGAAAGGGTGGCTCATGCGGAAGTGAGCACAATTCGAATGGTGCTAACCAGACGGGGAGTTATTGATCTAACGATAGAAGGGGAACCACAGTATGTATAAAATTTGAATTATACTCTGTACAAATATACTGTTACTTAGACACTACGGAAGGAGTCTCCTCGTTGGATGGAGGAAGAGACCAGGGACGGCGCGCTTCTTAGGGCGGAGGCGCGGCGAGGAGCGAAGCGAAGCGAGATGCGCTTCAGGCCGCTCGACTACCCGTAGAACAGGGTGGAGTGGCGATGGCTTCGCGGTAGCCTGTGCTCTGACTTGATTAAATCCTTTCCTCTCCTCCTCCGACTCAAAAGGGCGGGCGCGTGAGCTATATCTACTCTCTGGCGCCGTCTGAGTCTTCTTTCATCGACGGCACGATCGGATCTGAGCCCGTGTGTAGTGGCGTCATGTAACACGTGTCCACGCGACGGAGTGCTCTATGTGTGACAGGTGTCCATTGGCGGCGGTTGATACAGGCCGGATGTGAGGGTGAGGATGGGGTCTCGTACAATACTGTAGCAGCAGCCTCTTCGACGAGTTCAGACACACCTGCAAAAGATAGGACAAGTCGCATGTAGATAGAGTCCGTTGGCTTGATGCTCTTAACGAAACGTCGGTCATTATTGAAATGGCAACCGAGCACTAGGGCATTGACCTAGTCGGGGATTGGGAATGATTGAGGTGCTTGAGGAGAGGTGGACTGACCGAATCGGCAGTCGGCTGCCAGCAGCTGAAAAACTGCAAATCGACGACGAAGCCGGGAAGAACGACCACAGATTCCTTAAAAAAGTCATTTCCCGCCCGAACGATTATTTCTGCCAAAGCTGTTAGATGGAATCTCTTAGAGTATCAGGCGTGTGAGAGGAGAGCATACTGGAAGCGGTTGAGGAGTTACACGTATGCGATGTCACAAGGGGCAAGAGGGCCGATATGAGCTCGACGGCTGGACATGCACCTCGAGGAGGAGGCGAGGGGGCACGAGAGGCCCGAGGGTATACAGTACCCAATTTTAATTGCTTAAATCAAGAAACGCACCGGTCGAAACTGTCTGGGGGAGTGGAGAAATTTGCATATAGGTGTGGCGGGCTAGATTTTATGATTTTTTACATTTGATGCGTGGACGTTCTGGAAGCGCACGCCGTAAGAAATAAAAGATGCTGGAGGCGCTGCGACGGCGGGGGGGGGGGGACACACTTCACACCGGGACAGATACAGAGCTGTCCTGAAAGCTTAACCGTAAAGCTACGGATTTTGAAAAGTATGTGATCTGTTGACGAATGACGAACGAACAAGAACGAAGTGACGAAAGCCAGGAAACAAATCTGGGAATCCAGACCATCCTGAAGGCAGTACAAGGGGTGATGGAAATTGTGCGGAAGCTAACCGGTGTTACTGTGTCATCGGAGGAAGCACTTTCAGCTATTATTGAGGAGAGCGAGAGCGAGAGTGATCGTACTAGCCCAAATGGAGGCGCTGGGTAAACTCTTGGGAATATCAGAACACTCTTCCATTGACAGAGCCAAGGCTGGAGCTGTCTGTAGATTGGTACATGGAAAATGTACTATACACAACTCCCCAGTTCCCACCCGACACTTTCTCCGTTGACATCGCCTCCGCATACGCCCTCGTACCAAGCCTGTTTCGTTTCATCCGTTCTCCCAATATTGCGAAAAACTACTGTTATCCAACCCAGAAAACGACTTCTAATGCAGTTCCTTGAACCATGTTGCCATGGACATAGTGGTGAAGCAGTCTTTTGTTAGAGAAGCAACTTTGGCTATCCTTGTCCTGAAGGACTTGTGTCTGCGAGCTCGCGCCATATCAGCTTACTTATTCATTAGAATTGAAGCATGCGCTCTTTCGCATGTGGCCTGTCCCATTGCTTCTCACCGAGCTTGATACCGTTCCCTACCCTCTACACTGCTGTTCGCTGTCGTAGATTGCTCCGCCCGCATGTTGCAAGCTTTCCGCAGAGTCTAAGAGGCAATTACGTCCGAAGAGATCCAAACTCGACCTCTCCAGAGACGAGTATAGTTCTTTCTCAGTCTTCCTGTCATCATTTACGCATCGTACAGAATCAGTAGCCACGAGACCATTGCGGCTCAACAGAGCATCACTACTATAACAGATTTTTTGCTAACACACTGCCTCTACTTTGCGGTGGGAGCATAGTGATTTTTCTGCCTTTGTCATTCGGAACGAGCCGGAACATAGCTTGCAACACGTCTCCTTGCATGTGGAAGGCTGCGCAAGTCCATCCCGCTTTCCAATACAAACCTTCGTTCTGTTTGCCTCTGCTTTTCCACACCGTCTTCCCTTTTTCACGCATTTGCATGCCCTGCGCTGAACCCTCCTCTCTTCCAAAGAAGGCTCTGGGTCGCCCCCAGGTGGCGGAACAGATGCACTTCCATACAGGTCAGGGGTCAATGACTTCGGAGCCCCACCTTTGAACTCAGCTGGCTTCTGATACGCCGCCGTTGTGCCACACGGCTCGTATGTACACACGCCAGGTCTATCGTTGGCGGACATGCAACCTTCACCGGAGTATTTCCACATGTCATTGACAAACAAAGGCTTGTAAGAACTCTTCATTGGCCCGCCACGGATTTCAACGTAGGAGCACGACCAGTAGTCAGAGAAGTACCCATGTGGCGTCGGTTCTTGCTGCACATCTCCAGTGATACTGCCTCCAGTCCCTCCATACCACACCCAACCTAACACATACTTGCCGTCCGGTACAACTGTAGGGATTCTGATGTCAGACACATAGTACCCCTTTTTGTACGGATGTTGTTGACCATCACTTCCGATAAAGGTAAAGCCTTTGCCATCAGATCCAAGCTCGGATGGGGCTGCAGCGACTGGATTTGCTCCCCAGCAAGAAAAGTGAAAGGCATTGCGCTTGTGAATCTCTTTGTTCATCACGTCCTCCGGACGAACAAGGGTCAGTCGAAAGAACCCTCCTGGACCATGGTTGTTGCGTGCATATTTGATTCTCGTCCACTGGCCGCGGTGGAACACAGCAGCAGGGTTGTCTGGGCTGTCATAGTTAGCTCTCCCTTCCCGGATGGCACGCAGATCACAGGGACCAGCACAAGTCTGAACACCAAACCTCGGTTCTCCTCCTAACCGGCATGTCTAAGAGGGCGTGTCAGATATGGTCAGAAGAATTACTCTCTCTCGTTCAAGGCCTTTATACAGCAACTTACTTGCGGTGATGTGGACTGCGGTTCCGTCATCTGAGAATGGCCACAGGCAATCGAAAAGATCCCAAGCGAGAATGTAGCGGCAAGAAGGAGTAGCATCATAGCTGAGTGGTTTGTAGGAAATCTGGAGAACTGACTGCTGTGACAGACCACAGGACTCGGTAGTAAGCGCTTCTACGTCGGACAGGGCGCTCGCGGCGCTCAGAGTAAAGGAGCGATGTATCTATGGGAAAGCAATAGAATGGGCAAAGTCAACGTGTGCGTCTCCCCGGGTTCCCCGGATCCCAACCCAGCATGCTGCCTTTATTTACAAAACCCGAACGGGTGCGGCAATTCGCACTCTCCGCCCGGTGTCGTCCCTGTCAGGCGACGACAGTTGCTCTGCGCCCTACACAAGTCAGTTCTGAAGCGAATACAGGAGGCCGCGCCCGTTCCTCAGTCCAAGATGAATATAGAAAGATATAGTCCTGTTTTGTTCACGTCGAAAGTCCCTACGGGGAAAATGAATGAGCTTTCGAGCATCACAAACTCAATGCCCCGTTCGGAATAGCGGAGAGTTACAGTGCATCCCATCCATCCAATTCTGAGGTACTGTGACCCAAACACCGCCGGATTACTATCTGAAGACTTGAGACTGCACTTGTTATTTGCTAAGCTTATCGATACGATACATTACCAGTGATCGATGAAATCTGTCCCAGTTGTGGGGTTTGTTTGACATGAGGATCAACAAGGTACGTCACGTCAGAAAAAGTCACGAGAGTTGTGTATTTACCGGTGATGCTTGTTTACCAACCTACTTCATCCGCAGTCATATGCATTGGCAGTCATATGCATTGGCTTGGTGGGAACCTCGCTGTCATGCGATTGCGAATGGTGAAGTTTCTTTGAAACTCATTCATGTTCACAGACTGCTCATTGCCAGCAGTTTTATTAAAAACATATTCTTTGCCTTCCGTCCTGAACGCTTACTCCAATAGAAAGGGAAATCATTTTGCAATGACATTGGTAAACCTGACCGTCTACACAGAAAGCGTACTTGGAAAAATTACATGCATTTGATAAGAGCATAGTGTCATTGTAAAGATCACACGTGCAATGACCGAGAATTGAATAGATTAAATAGTCCTCATCAGTCGTGTTGCCATGCTACACGACTTGCCCAACAGGTGATGCGCATCTTTGCTGAGCTTGTGGGTGTCATCCTTGCCATTTACAAGAATTTTGCAGAGATTTGAGTCACCATCTAACTTACCCCGACGTTTGTGCAGAACAATGCCGACTCAGGCTTCTCAAATATCACCTCTCTTCGAAAAGATGTGAACGCAGAGAGGAGTATTCTGTGGTGATGAATGGAGGAGAAAAGATACTGTACCTTCACGCGCGCACTTGATCTAGTTTAAGAATGTCAGAGGAAATGTCCATATTTGCACCCACAGTATGTGGTACACAGGACTACAGTATCTTCCAAAGAGATGTTTTCTTTTGCGGCACTTTCGCCATATCGAGCAAGCAGAGTGCCACGCGATTCATTTTGAGTATAAGTACAGCACTAGAGTGCCACAGGTAGTAATGTTGCCTGTTACACAACGATCACCCTCTCATGTTCTATTAACCACAAGAGTGCGTTGCATGGCAGTGAAACGGCCAAGCTGTATCGCGCAGAAGCTGCATATAGGTGGGCAGCGTGACACGTGAAAGCTATGCGTACATACATGCACTATCTACGAGTAAAGCTTTACCTTTTGCTGTCTAAAGCTACGTGCGTACGTGCGTACGTGCGCTTGCAGCATTATGGGAATTCAAGCATTCACACCGTCATGCTGCATTACCAAGGGTACTGTATGCAACTGGTGTTGCTTCCTGCGATTTTCATCAAGTCTCGCGATTACTGTATGTATGATGGTCATAATTTCCGCATCCTTGAATGGGATGTGGCATACAACGGCAATCTCTTACAGAAAGCAGAACATTTATAATGCACTTCTTCTGGGTTACAGCGGCTCGACTCTTGGCGTGAGCGAATCGCACTTTGGCAGCACATAAATCCTTGACGCCTCTTCTAGGGAAGAGGCGTCCCTAGGCTCTGTCATGACATATCCAGAAGAGCATCTTGACAAAGCTTGGCTGTCGGATTGCTCATGATTGCAGTGTCTTTCATCCATACGATCCGCTTTGTTTGGTTTACGTAGGGTTTCACTCGCGGCTCTCGAACCGCACCCTTCCATGTATCCAACGGGGAACGTCAATGGCCGCGGAGTTCAGACCGGCGCTCAAACGTCCTAGTAGGCAATAGTTGATGAGCAAGGGCAGGCGCAATGTCTTAGTTCGGCCTCGGGATGGTCGCATATGTGACCGAAATTAATTTAGTTGGTGAATGTCCACTACCTTACAAGAACAGAAAACAGATTTCTCTGCGGTTGAACAAGGAAGTTTCCACACGTCTTTTTGCTGCTCCTCACACCGCTTTGTCTCCTTGGTATGCTCTCATGCCGAGGTTTCTCCCTCATGAGATCTACGCACACGGAGAACCAATTCTTTCATTTGCAGTGGCATGGAAGTATATTGGGTCCTCAGCGCCGTTGTGACGCAGCGTCATATCCGACCCATTTGCTTTTAAAAATGCCTTCAGGAGGAGGATGTATCTCGTAAGTTATCTGGCAGATCAACTCTGCTGACTAACTTCAGCGATGCTACGGTAATCATTGTGGACTTAAACCGGTTTTTTCCATTACATTCACGTCTTCATCTCAAAATTATTCATAAAAATACAAAGAAAAGGCGGTTTGACTCCATTTCTAACGCAGTTCCCTTCCTCACAGCTGGCAGAACGCCAATATTGACAGAAAAAAAGCACAGAGAGTAAAATATTTAGTTTCAGACGCAAAAAGAACCATTGAAAACGGGGTCATTGAACGAGAAGTCTGAAAACCGGTCAAGAAAAAGAATCATACTTCAAGCTCCGTGGCCCGGTGGGCAGAATGCTGAGAGGGGGTGCTCGAAGCGCGTTGTGCTCTCTGCCGAGCACGCATCCTTCTGTGTTCGCAACTCCCGTTCAGAAGAGAACGTTTAACAATGCGCTCAGGGCGAATCTCAACCAGTCGACGAATCTCGGCTGGAGTGTCACGCACATCCAAGAGGCCCTCGGGAACTTCTCGCCGCATTTCGCGGCGCTTGTTTCGCGCCAAGAGCGCTTCAATGACTGCATCGGCGGTGAGGTGGCACCGCTCGTGGTGCTTATCCTCACAGTGCCACTGTCCCCTACGTCCACATCACGCAGTAAATTTCTCGAGTTATTCCTAAAGCTCTCATTCAGCACCTCGAGCGATACTTCTTGTGCGTTGTGTTACCTACGGTAGTGTTTTCCTCAAAATAGTGTAGACTCTCGAGCTCCTCAATGCATCTACCCCGGGATTGCAGATCCTAAATGCCACACTTTTAAATTCGCTGACAACGTTGCTTTCCATGACTGCATCTGATAGGGCGAACTTTTAAAACATCAGCAGTGTAGTACAACGACCGGCGAGCGCGCGGGGAGGTTATTAACCGTGCGGCCGTGCAC